TCATTAGCTACTTTCTTTCTGTGCTTTATTTATCATGCAATTAAAAACAGATATTGATTTATTTAATACTTGAACTTTTGTATGGGTCCCCAATTCAAATAGTGTGTCCCCATTCTTCACTTTAAAATCAGGTTAGCAGGACCATTCATAAGTTGAGTTTGCTTGTTCCATAAAAAAAAAAAAATCTGGGATATGTAATTACACATTTGTTGTGCTATATAATTTCCCTAATTTTTACTCTACCATTGTTGGTCAGTCATTAGCTACTTTCTTTCTATGCTTTGTTTATCATGCAATTAAAAACAGATATTGATTTATTTAATACTTGAACTTTTGTATGGATCCCCAATTCAAATAAAAGCAAATATACAAGTACTTAATATAATTTATTTAAACTCTTGGGGTATGTCAGAATGTCATTTTCAGCATACACACCCAATGGATTAGTGTTCTGTCCTCACTGCGTTTTGTTCTGGGTGGTTGTTTTCAGTCCTAAAAAGGGGCAGGTTGAAGAAAGTCACCAAAAACTCTGTCTATCCTTGTGGTGTGTTGTCACAAGGGGATCCTGCTAGAATTAGTCCTTCTCAGAGCAGAGAGGTTAGGAGATGCCTCCTGTTGGGCTCTGTTCCCTGTGGTTGTCTTCACTGAACCTTATATCGGTCACTTCTTTGGGCTTCAAACTCTTTTGAAAAGTGATGTCTTAGGCTCTTTCTGGCTCTAGAAATCTGAATCTGCCCAGCCTGCCGTAAATTTTATTATACACCATTTGTCTAGGGCCAGGCATAGTGGCTCATGCCTGTAATCATAGCACTTTGGGAGGCCCAGGTGGGAGGATCACTTGAGGCCAGGAGTGGTGGCATGTGCCTGTAGTCCCAGCTACTCAGGAGGCTGAGACAGGAGGATCTCTTGAGCCCAGGAGCTTGAGGTTTTTAGTGAGCTATGATGAGGCCACTGTACTGTAGCTCAGGCAACAGAGTGAGACTCTGTCTCAAAAAATCCCCAAAAAACAAAAAGCAAAAAAGCCAAAGCAAAAAACCTACTTGCCTACAGAGACAAGATAGTCTATTAAATTTTAACAAAATGAATTTCATTAGAATAGCATACGTTGAGAGGCTGTTGAGCAGATGTTGCATGTGTATATCCACATTCTATTAATATCATAGGTCCTATGTTTCGTTTCATACCAATAGTGTGAAGTCGTGTCTAGGGTCTGAACTGGGCTGTCCCATGGTGTCCATGCTGACCTTTTACTTTCTCCACTAAGTGGGACTACTTTCAGGGTGGGGTGCGGCTGGATCAACGCAGAGAAAGGCAAAGTCCCATCTCTCCTAAAGATCCAAGGATCTAGCTGGCCGAGGTGCCTGGTGCTGTTGCCAGAGGCCTTCCATTCACCAGTATGGCTGGGAGGGTTTTGGGTGTTAACATCTCCTCAGGCAGCTTTCAGGAAAAAGGTTAGGAGAAGGTAGCCCTCAAAGCACAGCAGGCGAAAGGCAGCAGCAAAGATGGACATGAGGGAGCACTTTTTTGCCTGTTTTTCTCTCCTAGTTTTCGGGACTCTACATCCTGTCCTTCACCGTCATCATGCTGGGCTTTATCCTGTACTGCTCCACGCCGACTCGCACGGCAGAGCCGCCTGAAAGCACGGTGCCTGCGGTCACCAGCATTGGGATCGACAACCTGGGACTGAAGCTAGAGGAGAACCTCCAGGAGACCCACTCGGTGGCCTTGTAGCTGGAGAGGACGGCGCACACCCGTGCCCCACCAGGACAAAGCAGAGCCTGCCGACTGCCCGGGGGACACACGGGGAAATACCGGACTCGGAGTGAACACTCTAGGTCGTTGGATTGGATCCAGGGGTTAGATTTTAGGAAGGAATGTTAAACTGCATATCAAATGTAGAAATACCGAAAGAGAGCAGAACCCAAGGCTAGGATTGTGTTTCTGTGTGTTTGAGGACTAATACCTATTAGTGTCTGGGAGACGAGGTGCAGGCACCACACAGGGGTCCCAGAGGCACATGTGGGAGAGCAGGACTGGAGGGAGACCCAGGAGTGAGCTGGCCTCAGGACCGGGCCTGAAAGCAGCCTGGCTGGGCTGGGCTCTGTGGTCAGGGGTAGCTTTCCTTGGTTGGAGGCTTTGGGTTTTTGCCCTGGGGAGGCAGTCATTGTCTGTAGGCCTTGTGGCCTTTGGCATATGGGTCCTGGTGACAATTGCCTATGGTGGAAAAATGGATGGGGCAGCACTTGAGAGGTCCTGAGGTTCAAGTGTGAGTACTACAGGAGCCTTAAGCTGGGGTGCAATAAACCTAGGAACCCTCTCCTAATTGTTTCTTTTCTTTTCTCTCTCTCTTTTTTTTTTGAGATAGGGTCTCGCTCTGTCACCCAGGCTGGAGTGCAGTGGTGTCATTATAGCTCATTACAGCCTCAAACTCCTGGGCTCAAGGGATCCTCCTGCCTCAGCCTCCCACATACCTGGGACTACAGGCATGCACCATAACGCCCAGCTAATTTTTTCCATTTTTTGTAGAGACGGGGTCTCACTCTTGCTCATGCTGGTCTCCAACTGCTGACCTCAAGTGATCCTCCCACCTCAGGCTCCCAAAATGCTAGGATTGGAGGCGTGAGTCACTGCACCTAGCTACATTTTTTTTGTTTTTAATTCCTCCCCCGTTCTTCATTCCAGATCCCAGAGCAAACTCTCTCTGCTCTCAAAGCCTGTGACACTGGACGTCTCTTCCACATTTTCAGTCCCAGATCCTATTCTCCAAGATTTCTTAGACCCAAGTAAATGAATTACACCATCCTTTCTGAAAAATTCTCATGACCCCCTGGAATATTTCTGTCGATCTCATTTTATAATATTAAGCATCAGATCAGCAAACTAAGTCGTACTGCAAATTATTGCAATAAGGAGAAAACTTTGTTTCTATAACTGGTAGAAAAAAATAGATTATCATCAAAATGAAAACACAAAAGTAATTTCTCAGAGAAGAGTATGCCTAGGAGGAGCCCTCAATTGTTAAAAGAAGATACTACACTACTTCTTAACAAATATTTGTAATGTCGTGAGATTTTTATGATACTTCCTCAATGCAGAATGTTAACATGTAGCATCAGTATAGTGTCAACCAACAAAATGCCAGTTTAAGAAAATTCTGTGTGTAAATTTTTTGTAATAATATGATAAGAAATGGTGGATCATATTATTAAAGGACTTTGAATTCACGGGAGTACATTCACTATGTGGTTTCTTTGATTAACCAGTTCCTCTTGTGGATTTCAATGACTTAACATATTTGAAATTTCTTCATATTCAACTTTTTAGAGTCATGTCTTCTGTAAGGTGAGGGAAACCTATCAATATTTGGGGGCTATGCCGCGATTGAAGGGAATTCAGGAGAGTGAGCTCACAGATCATTTGCAGGAATACACACTTTCCAATTCTGAATTATCGTGGTGAAATTTTTACTTTAAGTGAAATGGTCTTTCATTCTCTGCAACAAATTAAAACTGTCTTTTATGTTTGGTTTTCATTAACAACTGTCAGTGAATGGAAAAGGTTATGTTAAAATGTTTGGCTGTTTTGGGAAGATTTTTGGTTTGATTAGCACACTGATTTTTTTTTTTTTTGATGTGTGCTGTTTTGTTTATTGTTTCATTTTATTCGCATCAGTGACGGCTGCAGTCAAACCTGTGGTTGGTGATCCTCCATCTGTAAGATTGCTGTTTAGCTGCCAGTGCCGTTCACAAGGTCTTTGGTTACATATTTGGGTGTTTAGCATACCTACACATTTGATGGACTTCAGAAAAAGGAGGCAGCATTTTTTTTAACTCTAGAGAATCATCTAAATCTCAGTTTATCTCTGTTCACTTCTAGAGATATCCTTTGTTTACATATTCAAATGAAAACATAAAATTAAACATTTTAAAGAAAACTTTGAAGTACATATCAAATTGGAAAATATATCACTGTAAGTAAATGTTAATATTTTCACGCAATTGAATTATCCCACTTGAGTCTGAGTGTTCTTGGAAAATCCTTAAGTCGCTCCTTATAACTGTGATTTGTGTCCCTCCTCACTAAACAAATATTTGTTGAGTGTTTACTGTGTACAAGTAGTTTAAATTTGCCTAATAATGTCAATAATCAAGGAATTTGAAAACCTTGACCTCTGACCCATGGAAGGGCTTATTATCTAGTCCAATTCCCTTTTTTACTTTTTTCCCCTAGTTCCCTTTTTAAAGATAAATAAGCAAAGGCATAGGAAGGTGATACAATTTGTCTCAGTTTTATGCCCAGTAGTGTTAGATTCCTAGTTTATTACTACTTCCTAAACTTGGCAGAATGTCAGAAACACTGGAGATGCTTTTAAAACTGTATGTTCTCTCTGGTTCAAGTTGGTGTCAAAAAAAAAAAAGAAAAAAAAAAAAATAAATAAATAAATAATAAAAAAAATAGATTCTCAGGCCCTATCCTAGAACTACTGAGGCAGGTTTACCTTGTTCTCATTAGACTATCTGAGAAATTGTTGATATAATATGAATTTCTTATTACAAAGATTAACAGTCCTAAGTTATCGCAATGTTTAAAATCACAAATACATTTGATAACAAACCATTAATTTTCATAAAGAATCTTTTAATGATGATTTTTATCATAAAATCCATTAATGGAGATAAGAAACCATCTATCTACACGTGTGCTGATCCCTGAGGCCCAAGCACAGCTTTTGAAACACAGCACGTTCTTTTGTTGATAACTTCCTTTAAATCCTTTTCTGGCCTATTAAGCAATAGTTATCAATTTTTAGTATTTCTTGTAGATATTCATGATGTTAAAAAACTCATCATACTGAATAGTGTAATAGTGTTGCTACATTATTCTGTAGTGTAGATGTATAATATTATTAATATATTACGCAACTAGACTATGGTTACATTGTAAGATGAGAGGGCTTTGCTGGTGCCATTGTTACTATTTGTATTTTGAAACTAAGTTCTCTTTTGTGGACAGGCAGTTGACATATTCTGATACCAGCCTCTTACCAGTGGAGTTTCCAGCAGGTGGTGCTTTAACAATTGTAACAACTCAAAGACCTGTGACATAAACAATAATCTGTCTCATTTTATAGCACCTGCATTATGTCCTGTTAAATCAAAGTGTTTTCTTTTGTTTTTAAAGAGAGTATTATCATAACTGTCTTCAGCAGGGATTGCCTTTTGGTTAACAGTTGAAGAATTGGGGTCTCAGAAAAGTTTAAACATCCCTCAGAGGTCACACAGTTTGGTGGCTAAGGGTGCAAAGAGAATCTGTGATTTTAACCTTTCAGTTTAGTCAGCAGCCAAAGTCGCCACTCAGTGAGTTCGCAGCGGGTCATAGTTCCTTCGGAACTGCTGAGCCAGCGAATGCAAATACATCTCTAATGAGAGCTGTTGGGAAGATTTTCTTGGAAAAACTAGCTCGGTAGTACAGTTTTCTCTGCAACTGTGGAGCCTGCCCTTTTAAGAAGCTGTCTACAGTTCACCTCTGTGGGTCTTATGTATGCATAGTCACGATTCCCTTTTCTATTATATTAATAATTACGGTGATGTGCCATTTCGTCTACATTTAATCACTTAGTATCTGGACATATCCTCAGCCCTCAAAAGATATCAATAAATCAGGGAAATTCAGTAGATAGCCACTTAGCTGATTAAAAGGCAAGAGATTTATGAGGAAATTAGATAATGCTGAACATGCAGTTCACTAGTCATGTAAAGGGTGTTTTGAGAAGTCTGACAATATATAAATGGTATATCAGAGGGAGTAAAGCCTCTTCAGAACAGCAAAATTTTATTTGTCCTCCCATGCAGAAGGGTTTAATGTCCCAAGGTTTATTCTCCCAATGCTCGAACTTTCATAATGCACTTTATTCTTTGGTTTGTTTGCTTATTTATTGGAGACAGAGTCTCGCGCTGTTGCCGTAGCTAAAGTGCAGTGGCATCATCATAGCTCACTGCAACCTCAAACTTGTGGGCTCAAGGGATCCTCCTGCCTCAGCCTCCCAAGTAGCTGGGAATACAGGCACGTATTCTGACACTCAGCTAATTTTTTTCTAGTTTTAGTAGAGATGGGATCTAGCTCTTGCTTGGGCTAGTCTCAAATTACTGAGCTCAAGTGATCCTCCCACTTTGGCCTCCCAGGCGCTAGTATTACAGGCTTGAGTCACTGCACCTGGCCTATTCCTTGGTTTAAATATTGTCCTCTTCTAGCAGCCTTAATTTAAAATGCAGACACTTTTAGAGAAGGAGGTTTAGATTGAAAGAGGGAAGGAATTGATACCAATGAAAAAATATAAGCCATTTGAACAATTATTGCCTCCAACTGACCATAAACAAGCATTCAGAAGGTTCCATACACTCATCGCTCAATCATCTATTACCATTCACTGCCTGCCAAACAGGGAGGCTAGAGTCTATACAAGGTATGACCTAGAGAACTTGTAGTGTAGAAGCTGGAGTTTTCACGCTGTCTTTCCCTATTTTGTGTTATTCTAACAGAATACCCAACACTGGGTAATTTATAATGAACAGAAATTTGTTGGCTCACAGTTCTGGAGGCTGGGAAGTTCGATGTTAAGGTGCTGGCATCTGGCAAGGGCCGTCTAGCTGGGTCATAACATGGCAGAAGTCATCAGGTGGTAGAAGAGGGGTGGAGAGAGAGAGAGAACAAGAGGGGTGGACCTTTGAGGG